TCTACAAGAGAGAGACATTAGAGCTTGTTTGGATGTATTTTTAGGAAGTGTTTGTATTAACTTTCTTAAACTCAAACCTCTCATTAAAAAAATGGGATTCAATATTGAATGTAGTCCATACCCATATTTGGTATACTCACATATATATCACCATTATGATAATATATTTTTTATATAAATGACTATTTTACTCATTCATTAATCGAATCTAAACCCATACTTGTATGCGTATAAGATATAATTGTCTTTTTATATTCTAAACACGTTAACCCTCATTTGAAATCCACTCCCCCCCCCCCCCAGGTTAAATGAAATCCATGATCTGGGATTTAAAATCCGGGCCAATAGCGCAATGAGCTTGGTAACTCAGACTTCAATTTTTTAGCCAAACATGAGTTTTGTGTGTCATTTGAACTATTTTTTTCTAAACCCATCTTCCAAAGTCCCCCAATTCCACTTACCAAACAGCCCCTAAATCCAGCACTAAGATATCTTGGTCACAATGTCATGGAACGTTATTGGGTAAGACACACAAAAAGCTACATAGCAATGGAAATGGTAATAAATATCGTGTTTGAATGCAAATGAAAATGGTAGTGAATATCCAGATGGAAATCAACTAAGGAAGCAACTATATTTGGCTGCAATTTAGTTTTCCATTAAGTCAAAATTCTACTGAAATAAGCGTAGCATTATGTAGATATTTGCTTTTTGTGCATGAAAGGATTTTGAGTGCAGAATAATTGTGCGTGTGAATTGTTTGTGTGATCAACCACATAGTGAGGAAATAGAACCAGAATATAAATGATTCAACAAGTTAAATGTAAATGTCCATTGTTAATGGAGTCTCTTGTTCTTGTGTTTGTTGTATTGCTTGGGGAAGAAGAAAAGAGTGATTAATTACAGACGTTTTGATCCTTTTGAAGTAGGACATCTTTTTCTATTTACAAGAGTTGGTTTTTGTCTTCTTCTATGATTGTGTGGCTCTCTCGATCTGTTAGAATCATTTGAGAATATTTAACCGTTAGAGACAATCATATCACAGGAGACGTATACTTCTAAAAGTTGTGAGGTGGCACTCTTGAAGCGGTAGCTCACTGCCCAAGGTAGGATTGGTTGGTTGAGCNGGTTTTGATCCTTTTGAAGTAGGACATCTTTTTCTATTTACAAGAGTTGGTTTTTGTCTTCTTCTATGATTGTGTGGCCCCCTCGATCTGTTAGAATCATTTGAGAATATTTAACCGTTAGAGACAATCATATCACAGGAGACGTATACTTCTAAAAGTTGTGAGGTGGCACTCTTGAAGCGGTAGCTCACTGCCCAAGGTAGGATTGGTTGGTTGAGCTCTTCCCCTCCTTATAGTAACTAGATCCAAATTGGCGTTTAGAATTATCATAAATTATATTAACATCCTTTGAGGTTTACCAAAAAAAAACTTTATTTTTCATGTGACTATAAACGTTATAAGTATGACTAATGCAAAGAAATGGGGCAGACTAACCTATGGTTCGATTGATTATTGGACCACGGGACTGGGCTGTGGGTTGTGAACCATTTGGAAAGGCCATAGGGAACTAGTATATTNGTTACCAAAAGAAAACTTTTTTTTTCATGTGACTATAAACGTTATAAGTATGACTAATGCAAAGAAATGGGGCAGACTAACCTATGGTTCGATTGATTATTGGACCACGGGACTGGGCTGTGGGTTGTGAACCATTTGGAAAGGCCATAGGGAACTAGTATATTATCACTTCTATATTTACTAATCATAACTAGTACTTGAAGATACAATGCAGTATAAAATCTAATCGTCCAAAAAATCAATATCACTATATTAAATAGTAACTTTTTTCCGCGCCCCCCCCCCCCCTTTTTTAATTACATGCTTTGCAATTAATTTCTACACATTAATTTACAAAAAAAAAAATTGACAAAAATATATCAAGAATAAAAATAAGGCATATGTAAGATTGTTTTTACAAATCAGCAAAAAGAAAAACATAACAATATAACTATTAGATGCAACACTACAAAATTAGCATTCTTGTGAAAGTACATACAGAAACAAGGTTTCGATTAGGTTTCATCTAGGCAATATTTTTGGTATAGGAAAGAAATCTAACCACTTACTTTTTGGATTTTTGGAAAATTACACTTTTGACCCCTTCAACTATGATTTGTTTTTTTTTCACATTTTCCACTTAACTTTGTTATTTTTCACATTACATCTTCAATTATGTTATTATTTTCACATCGCNCTTTTTGGATTTTTGGAAAATTACACTTTTGACCCCTTCAACTATGATTTTTTTTTGTTTTTTCACATTTTCCGCTTAACTTTGTTATTTTTCACATTACATCTTCAATTATGTTATTATTTTCACATCGCTCTTAATTGATGTCTCTTACTAATTGATGAAAAGATATTTCCTTTTCCCCCCTCTCCTTCCAAATTATGTGATTTTGTTTCAATTTGCCTCACCACGTTGACATTTTACGTTCAAAAGATAGCGAGTTTTTTGCGTTAAGGTAATTTGAAATCAATTCGATTAATTAAACAGACAATGTAAAGAGTTCAATGGTTCAAAAGACCAAAGTGAAATCGAGTCCATAGTTAAATAGGTAGAGTTTAATTTGTCTAATATTTTAAGTGAAAGTGAAACAATGAAGTACGTAGTCTCAACCAAAAAATGAAAAAATGGCCCCACTAGAGTAAATATTCAATGTAATGGTGATACCATATCATTGGTGACACATTGCATCACCACACAATAATAACACACCGTATAAGATAAGTGAACCCTAGTATTCTAAGGTGTTAGTTATTTACGATGATGATGATTAAAAGTTACTAAAATAGGGGGATACACTATTACACACATGGTATATTATTATTGATCGATAATATCATGTACCACTAATAATATGGTGACACTGTTGCATTGAATATTTTCTAGCTGTAAAGGGCCCTCTTCCCCTCAAAAGTTTTTATTGTTTATCAAAAGTGTTACAATATAATCATTTTGTTAACTTTCTGTTAGTTTTTTATCAGTGACAATGAGTTGATTTCTGATAGAAAAAATAGTAGAATGGCCACATTGGAACCAATGAAAATAATTTTAACATTTAGGCCCAAAAGTCCAACCCATTTCACACAATTACATTTGTTGAACGACAACAAAAATTAACAAGAAAGTCTGATATCATTTATTTTATTTTTTACTTTCTTCTATCAANGTTAGTTTTTTATCAGTGACAATGAGTTGATTTCTGATAGAAAAAATAGTAGAATGGCCACATTGGAACCAATAAAAATAATTTTAACATTTAGGCCCAAAAGTCTAACCCATTTCACATAATTACATTTGTTGAAGGACAAAAAAAATTAACAAGAAAGTCTGATATCATTTATTTTATTTTTTACTTTCTTCTATCAAAAATAATATAATAAGCATCAGACTTTCTCTCTTTCTTCTATCAAAAATAAATATAATAAGTATCATACTTTCTCCAAAACTTCAGTACAAGACCCTAATAAAACTATTCATTCTCATAAAGGATCCAAAATGAAAATTGATTTAAAATTTTAGAAAATTAATAAAAATGAAATATCCTCATAAGTATTAATCGCTATAGGCTCACATGTTCTTAAGCCACCCCTATAAACAGTTCTAAATGNCAAAAATAAATATAATAAGTATCATACTTTCTCCAAAACTTCAGTACAAGACCCTAATAAAACTATTCATTCTCGTAAAGGATCCAAAATGAAAATTGATTTAAAATTTTAGAAAATTAATAAAAATGAAATATCCTCATAATTATTAATCGCTATAGGCTCACATGTTCTTAAGCCACCCCTATAAACAGTTCTAAATGAGTCCCAAAAGAAGACTCATGACCCTAAGGGGGTTTGAAAGTCTAATTTGTAACGAATCACTTTGTGGCGGGTATGGTATGCTACAAAATATGTTAATCATAATTATCGTAAATGACACCAAAATTGCCCCACATAACATAGAACATGGAATCAACAGCTGCGCAACTTAACTAGGGTCAAATGTAGGAATCTGTTTCTTAGACCTACCAATGGATCAAATTTGCACCGATTNGAACATGGAATCAACAGCTGCGTAACTTAACTAGGGTCAACTGTAGGAATCTGTTTCTTAGACCTACCAATGGATCAAATTTGCACCGATTCAAATCCNAAACATGGAATCAACAGCTGCGCAACTTAACTAGGGTCAAATGTAGGAATCTGTTTCTTAGACCTACCAATGGATCAAATTTGCACCGATTCAAATCCATTAAAAAATATCCAACCTAATTTTTTGACCAATTTCATTTTCACAATGCATTTCCAAATGGGTCAAAAATCAAAACATTTAATATGAATATCCAATAATCTTAATTAGACTTTATTTTAGCAAATCATACCCAAATTTCAACTCAATTTAATCAAATAATCACCAAATTTCATAAGATAACAACACACACACACACAATTCAGTTCTAATTATAACTGATTCGGAATATATAAATCCATTTGGTATAATATAAAGGATTTAAATATCGGTGAAAAAATCCATTCATATCTAATTTAAATTTAAATTCAAATTCAAATCTAATCCTTTGATAGAGTTACTTTGTTTTCAAGCAATGGAAATTAGCGACTTTAAAAACCATTGTAGATGCAGGTTTTTGGAAGGTATTGTAGGTGCCGTTGAAATCAACACCACAATGTTATTTGGACGATCAGAATCTATGACAATAGTAGCTAAGAAAGTATATCATTTCATGATATATTACAAAGTGTACAAAAGGAGTTGAATTTTAGTACACTAATTCCCAAAACACAATAGCCATGAGGAGACACAACATAAACTTTAATAACAAGTGATTTTGCAGGATAACCTGTTCGAGGCAACAGAACTATAAACATTTACGAATACGCAATAACTAGAGAGTAGAAAACTAGAACTCTTTTGATTCACTCATACTGAATTGTCTTACAGATTATACAGGATATATAGACTACAGTCACACATGTAACTAATAACCATACATTGATATTCCAATCTCACTAAAACACTTGTAACCACTAAAACTTATTCAAACATCACTCATCCATTTCATAACACACCATCAACACTAAACACATGCATGAACTAAATGCAAAAATATAACTCCCACAGCAAAGATAAAACATCAAGTTTATTTTTCAACATTACCATCATCCAGAGGCCTTGATGTCGCTTGTTGTGATATCCCAGATTGTTCTCCAGTTTCTTTGCTGACAGAATGAGACAGAGTAGGGACTGATGTCCCTTCCTGTGAAGTGCTTCCAGATTGTGAGGGCTGAGAGAGACTGGGTAGGACCTTGGCATATCCCAACTCATCTTTTAAGGTTCTTATATCCATATTTCCTTCGAGGACTTTCACAACCTGAGACATGATGGGCCTGAGTGAAGAGGATTGGTTAATGCACATCATCGCTAGCTCCAAAATCGTTTCTGCTTCTTTATGATTGTAGTCGGATCCCAAGGTTGGATCAACTAGTTCTACCAGCTTGTTTCCCTGCTCTAAAACGCCAGCCTACAAGGTTTTGTTGCATCCAATAATTTAATCAAAAGACATTTTATAACTTCACAACATGTCAAAAAAATTGATTCATCATGATGCTATTTCTTTTTAGGTGAAAAAACACAAACCCTATGATAAAACACGGAAATCCCTCGACATTAGAAGAATGACAGGGAAACCCCTGGGCATTTGAAAGTAGAAATAGACAGAGTTCATCCGTCTGACCGATGCTAGTAAGATAACAATAGACGATAATCTCAATAATTAAATTTAAATAGTGTTGTAAACCCTCTACATCAAGACTAGGGTTTATAGGATGATAGTTTCCAAAATTTTTCATTTGAAAAGACAATATTGCCCTTACAAATACTTTGAATATTAAATATTTTAAAAATTAATCACCTTACTAATTATAATTTGAAAAATTAGTCACCAACTGCAATATATTTACAATTTTAGAAATAAATTATCCATATCTAATCAGTTTCATTAATTGAACTAATTAGTCCATGATCCCAACAAACAAATCTAATTTTTGAAATACTTTTATAATATATCCCTTAATTATATACTTTCATTATCCACCACCTTCCAACATTTATTCGTTAATTATAATTTACTTGATGATTAATTACATAATAATCTATCTAGTTTTAATTTGTTTATAATTTATGTATTGAAGTTATCGACCACAAACACCTGCACCAATTATTGTCGTCCATCATTACTGATAGAATTGATCAACAAAGTTAAAAACAGAGAGAGCAAAGAAAAAGAGAAAATATTATTAGGCCAAACCAATCTGTATGCTAATTAACCTAGAAGTACCAACACAACATACAATAAAATGCCTAAACTATCCTTAGTATTCTGCTATCTGCATGGTGGAAGGAAGAAAAAGGAGAGTGATAGTGCCCTATTGAAGATGATGGTGCACAAAATGACAATCAATTCTCAATGTGCTTTGCACGCTCATGAAAGATCAAGTTGTGAGCAATTTGAATAGCACTGATGTTGTTGCAGGACATAAGAATAGGAAAGGATATTGAAATGCTAAGGTCAAGAAGGAGCCATTGTAACCAAACTATCTTAACTATGGTAGATGTCATAGCACGATATTCAGCTTCAGCAGAAAAACGAGTAACAACAGTTTGTTTCTTAATTTTTTAGAAAATAACAAAATCTCCCCCAAAAAAAAATGCAGAAACCAGTGGTGACTTGTTATCTATAGAGTCATCAGTCCAGTTAGCATTGAAGTAAGCCATGAATTCCAAAGGTGAGGAGTGAGAAAATAGTAAACTCTATTGTAGAGTACCACGGAGATACCGAAGAATACAAAGAACAACAACCTAGTGAACAATAGTAGGTGAGACGATAAACTGACTCACAATATGAACAAAATAAGAGATATCTGGATAAATGACTGTAACAGTGTTATTTAAGGCGTAAAGCGAATCAAAGCGAACAAGGCTCTTAAAGCTTAGGCGACAAGCGAATCAAAATGTTTTACCAAAGCGAAGCGAACAGTTAAAAATAAATAAATATTTTAGTTTAATTACTTCTAAACATTTAAGTTCTAATTTTATATATACTTAATATTTAAATGCAAGTAAAACCATAAATATTTAGATTAAAAAAAATACTAATAATATCTCAAATCTTAATAATAATCAAAGGAACAAAACAGTACAAGAAATCAACAAAATCAGCACTATCACACTACTAATAAAATTAGTACTACTACTAGCGAAATCATCAAGTTCAAATGAATTACAGAAAAATCAGGATTATATAAAATTAGTATTCATCATTACAGAAAATCAGTATTCCGCATTACAAAAAATCAGCATCAGAATAACAAAAAATCATCATTCATCATTACAGAAAATCAGTACTATTATCAGCAAAATAATATTATAGAAATTCAGAATCATCAAATATACAAAATCAAAAGCAGAAAAAAAAAATAGCCGAAGCAGAAGGGAGAAAAAAATAGCAAAAGCAGAAGCAGAAAAAAAATAGAAATAGAAAAAAAAAACAGAAGTAGAAAAAAAAAACACAACATTAGACAATCAACAAAACAAGAAAAAAAAATAGAAGCAGAAAAAAAAAACAGAATTAGCAGCGAGAAGAAGAACCAGAACCAAAAGAGAGAAGAAGAAGCAGAGAAATAAAAGAGATAAAAGAAGAAGAAGAAGTAGAAAAGAAGAAGAACCAGAGAAGAAGAGCCAAAACTAGAAGCGAGAAGAAGAAGTGAAACAAAAGAGAGAAGAAAAAGAGAACGAGACAAACTTGTGTATGGACCAGTGAGGATGGAGCAACTGCAAAAGTCATCGTCTCTGACCAGCGAGGAAGGAGCAGTATCAACCAGCAGTTGTTGTCTGACCCTTTAAGCAAAATTAGGGTTTGAGTGTTGTATTTATGGGATAAGGGGGTAATCGGGTGTATGGGCATCTTATAATTTTGTTCTAATTGCCCCAATTCGACGATCCATAATAAAAATAAAACAATTTAAGATAACCTTGCCTCGCATAACTAAGGCGCTCACTTTCTCACCTTTCGCTTAAGCTCAAGGCACTCGTTTTTGTTGTTTTTTTTTGCTTTAGTCACATTCGCATTGGACTGTAAGATACACTAAACTCTCAACAATAGTGCAATAGAGGATAGCGTCACATAAGGGAGTACTATTAGCAGAGGAGTAACAAACATTGAGCTCTAAAGGTGTTTTAACTATCCGATTATCTGATAAATGAGCTCGTTAAATAACATCCAAGACATACTTGGACTGAGAGAGGGAGCATGTTTAAGGCCATAGAAAGCTCAGTGAAGTCAACATACTTGACTAGGACTATGAGATAATCCAAGAGGAATCAAAAAAACCTTNACCTTTCGCTTAAGCTCAAGGCGCTCGTTTTTGTTGTTTTTTTTTCGCTTTAGTCACATTCGCATTGGACTGTAAGATACACTAAACTCCCAACAATAGTGCAATAGAGGATAGCGTCACATAAGGGAGTACTATTAGCAGAGGAGTAACAAACATTGAGCTCTAAAGGTGTTTTAACTATCCGATTATCTGATAAATGAGCTCGTTAAATAACATCCAAGACATACTTGGACTGAGAGAGGGAGCATGTTTAAGGCCATAGAAAGCTCAGTGAAGTCAACATACTTGACTAGGACTATGAGATAATCCAAGAGGAATCAAAAAAACCTTTTCACTTAAATCTCTATGAAGAAATACATTTTTTTTCACATTCATATAAGACAAACTCCATCAACGACCGACAACAACTGCAATTACAATGTGAATAGTGGTCATCTTCACAACTGGGGCAAAAGTCTCATCATAGTCTAGACCATACTCCTGAACAAAACCTTTGGCTACTAATTGAGCTTTATACCATTCCACAGAACCATCATACTTTGTTTTTCCCTTATATATCACCTACAACTAATGGTGCATTTACCAAGTGATAAAGTCACTAACTCCCAAACACTGGTCTTATGTAAGGCAGTCAACTCCTCATCTATAGCTTGTTTCCAAAGTGGATCACGTAAAAATTCCTTGCAGGAGGTGGGTTCAGATAGGGAGTGAATAGAAGTAGGAAAATAACAAAAGTCAGAGGAATAACAAGTGTTACTCCAAACAAACCTGTTTGGATTTTGACGAGAGCTTTGAGGATAGCGTGAGGTATAATCTAGAGTTTCTACACTTGATTGGGTGTTAAGAGGACAAGGGAAGACACCACATCTGTAGAGGAGATAATTAGAATCTTACAAACATATGCTTGCACAATAGAGGGATACGGTATAGTCAACTCAGAGGGGGTAGGATTTGACACAGTGAAATCACCAACATATGTATCATGAGGAACATTAGTAGGAAAGGAATCAATAAATAGCAGACCGGACTTATTCAGTGGGAAAGACTAGAAGGAATTGAAAACAAATGGAATATGTTCCATAAAGACAACATGGCGAGAGATATAAAGTTTGTAGGTAATAGGATCATAGCAACGATACCCTTGTTTACCATCACCATAACCAAGAAAGACATAAAGTTGAGGGAGTAAAAAGTTTGGTATGAAGAACACTAGAGAACAAAACAAAGTAAGTACAACCAAGCACACGTAAAGAAAAATAGTTAGGCAGCTTACCACATTATTTTTCGAAAGGGGAGACTCCAGAGGTGAGAACAATAAAAAATGTAATTGATCAAATAAACTGAAGTAAGAACTGCTTTCTCCCAAAATGAGCTGAGAACATGTGCTGGTAATAGAACAGAGCTTGCTGTCTCTAGAATATGATGGTGTTTATGTTCGACAACACCATTCTACTTAGGTGTGTCAGTGCAAGAGGATTGATAAAGTGTACCATCAGATTTTAACAGATTGTGAAACNATTGATCAAATAAACTGAAGTAAGAACTGCTTTCTCCCAAAATGAGCTGAGAACATGTGCTGGTAATAGAACAGAACTTGCTGTCTCTAGAATATGATGGTGTTTATGTTCGACAACACCATTCTACTTAGGCGTGTCAGTGCAAGAGGATTGATAAAGTGTACCATCAGATTTTAACAGATTGTGAAACACAGTAAAATTGTATTCATCTCTCTGATCACATCGAAAATATTCAATGTGCAGTGAAATATTGAGTGCGGACCATATTGAGTGCGGACCATGTTATGAAAAATACTAAAGATTGACAAGAACTCAGATCGACGTTTCATCAAGTATAACTAACAGTACCTCGAATAATCTTCAACCAAAGAAAACATAATATATGTACCCTCCTTATGTAGGAACAGCAGGAGCCGTCTCCATGTATCATAAAGAACAAGATCAAATAGTGCAAGGAAACAATTAACCCTTTTATTGAAAGGTAATGCACTAAATTTAGCTATTACGTCCATTACAATAAAAAATGTCATGACTTTCTAAACTACCAGTAGAAGCTAAAACTTTTAAATGAGAACGAGAAACATGACCAAGACAAGAATGTCATAAATAAAACCTAGATGACTCTAGACTCAAACGAAAAAAAGATAATTCAATAGTAGAAGCAGCAACATCTATGACATGAAGTTCCTCCAACACACATAGTCCTCCCTTTCTACGACTTGTTCCAAGCAGTTTCTTGGATCGTGGATCCTGCACAATACAACCAGAGAAAGAGAAGTGAACCAAAAATTCAAAGTCAAATAGTTTGCTCACTAAAATTAAGTTCAAAGTAAGTTGAAGAATGTAATAGACATCTGAAAGTGTTAGGTTAGAAGAAAAAATTGTCCCAACACTAGTTAATGACATTTGAGATCCATTAGCGACAAGTACAGATACAAATGGAGGAAAAATAATAGATGCAAATAAAGAAAAATCATTGGTCATATGATGTGTGACACCTGAATCAAAGACCCAAGCAGTTTGAGATATGCCTAAAGGACAAAAACTGAATGAACCTACAGTGAGAGAAACTATGAGAGCACCAGGCTGATGAAGTGAGAGAAACTTTTGTAGCTGATCTGTAAGCACAGTCAAGTTGGGAGCTGATGAGGTGGACTTATTCACTGGCGGTGCAACAGCTATTGTATGACGATTTTTGGACTTAAATGACTGATTTTGAGACCCCCATACATTCCTATTCACCAACTTAGGACATTGAGCATTCTGGTGACCATTTTCACAGCAGAAGCTACACTTATCAGAAGCAGCTCAACTTCAATACTAGTTTGGAAATTAGAGGTCATTTTGGAAAGAGCAATCAATATAGTCTAATTAGGCAACAGTTGAAGAACCTTTCTAAAAAAGGTTTTAAGGCGAACTTCTTCAACTAAGAGCTCATTAACAACTACATCTACTGAGGGGAGCAGGTGACAATGAAGAATGAAACCACGAAGTCCCTTAAAATCATCTCTAATGACCATCAAGAATTGCATTAGTCTCTATTTCTCTCTAAAAGTACAAGATATCGGATTAGTGTTCAACTCAATGGGTTCATTAAGTGCTGGCTAATCCCAAAATTCAGTCATAAATGAGTAAAATTCTTTTATATTTTTGTTCCCTGGACGCGCATCTCAAATCTTATACTTTAGCTGATACCTCTTTACAAAATTAGACTGGACAAAAAGTGTGATTAAATAATTCCAAATTTCCTTGGTTGTGCTAAACTTTGGCTAGATAAACTCCAACGGTCTGATCAACTGAGTTATTAATCCAGGTGATGATTTTCCTATTGTTGATATCTCAAGTACTCTTCAAATCAGAATACTTTTGTACCTTAGTGCCACTAATATAACTCCACATGTCCTTCTCCAACAAAATTATTTTAATAACATAAGCCCAATAAACATAATTTTCGTCGATTAATCTCACACTAATGGCCTGAAACGAATCAAAATTTTCACTTGCCAAGGGTTAATAAAGAAGGAGTATGAACAATTATCAAAATACATTCAAACCAATTCCAATAATAACCCAAAGTCAGAGAGTCAAACCAGCAACAATTGAAAGCAAAATACACTCAAAGTCAAAGAGAGAAGTTCAAATTAGTGTTTGGGTATGAGAGTATAAAGAAAGAGAGACAGAATGCTCTGAATTCTCTCTAGCTTTCTCTCTTCTAAAAAGTATGACAGGAGAATAAAGAAGCCAGAGGCTTCAACGATCACTTCAATCATTCCATGAGAAGGGCAAAACCTTTCCAAAGAAAAGGAGGACCATCTACAAAGAAGTATTAAAGAGGTTAAGGAACACCATAGGAACCCAAAGGAATACGAAATGCTGATAGATGCACGAGCATCACCATCCCAAGAGTCCCCAGAGCTGGTAATGAAGGAGGAACTCCCTACAGAAGGAAAGAAACCATTTAGGAACTACAAGGAAGCACTCATGGCTGAGGCTAATGCCATATTTTTTTATTGATGAACACTATGAGGAGGAACTAGAGGAAATGGAGGAAGAGAACCAGAAAGGGTATCAAGGGAAAGGGAAGAGTCACACATTGATTGACACTTCAGATGAAATGTGCGCAAACATCAATCTCCCTACTAAGATGCTTCAAAGAATCAAAAGCAAGTGGAAATACGGATTGCTGGTAAAGCTTTTAGGGAAAAGCATCGGATACAAGGTGTTGTGTGTGAAGGTTAGAAATTTATGGAATCTCCAAGGTGACTTTGATGCTATTGACCTTGATAATGGTTTCTTTTTGTTCACTTTTCAAATGAGGGAGAACTGTCACAGAGNGAAGCAAGTGGAAATACGGATTGCTGGTAAAGCTTTTAGGGAAAAGCATCAGATACAAGGTGTTGTGTGTGAAGGTTAGAAATTTATGGAATCTCCAA